ACAGAGTACAAAAAAGTTCAGGCAATGTGGAAAGCCTTTCTTTTTTTTTCAGTAACCAGGTGGTGGTGGTGATAGTAGGGGCCAAGAAAGCAATACCAAATAGAGCAGCTTTACTAAGGAGCCTCTATACTTAGAGTCAGCTCTCCTAAACATTTAAGGCTGTATTTCAGATTCTTTCTTTCCTCTACTGATTCTATGATTCCAGAGAAGCTGTAGCGTAAGAGTTCTGGTAGACAGTGTGGAGGCCTGGGGCAGTGGTAGCCATCTGTATGGGGAGTTCATTTATAAATAAGAGTCTGTATTAAATGTAAGTAATAAGAATTAGAACTATAGAATCTGCTTTATTACCAGCAAAAATTTAAGACAGCCAAGAACACTTATTACCTTTGGAAAGGCCAAAGGAAATCAAGTACGTTTAAATCGATTCATCATTTATTATAAAACGTATCCAACTTACAATTCCATATTTTTTTCTCATATAGTAGATACACTAAAGAAGATAATGACAAAAATTATTTTCTTTCAGGTTCTTTGCTTTTCAGATTAGGAGCTTCAAGATATTTTAGGGATTAATCAAGTTCTGATGACCTAGACGCTATTTATTGAATAATACCACACATTTTATTCTTCAGCCAATTTCCCAGATGAACTAAACATGATGCTCTCTTTTGCCCAGAAAAAGCAAAGGACATACAGACAGGTTACTAATGCTACCAGTGATACATGTGATATAATGATACAGTGAAATAAAAAACCCTTCAATTACATAGTGAATATAAATACCATTTACAAGATACCAGAATGCCAAAATTAAACTAACCAAAAGCAGTAATAAGTCAAAATAGCTTTTCTCCCACAAAAAGGAAATTCAGAACTCATTTTAAAAGCATCACAACAAGGCTAACTCTATTTGTTAAACAACAATAAGTAGTTACTAGGAAATTATGGTTATCGGAAAAAATAAGACAATCAGAGATGGGCAAAGGTGTTCAGATTTTCCAAAAGATAGAAGGTAGTTTTTGAAAATTAAACTTTGGCAGCAACCTCCAAAAGTTCTAGGTAAGGTAAATCTACTCTTCTCTAGACCCTTGCAACTAAATTGGTGAAGCAGGTAATTGTAGCAAACTGAGCTGAATTCATATCCTGACCCTGCTTCTTGTTAGTTGTGAACCTGGCAAATTAACGAGCTCCTAACTCTGAGAAAAACAATATTAATACTGCCTAGCTTGCAGGGTGGTTTTGTCAGGATTAAATGAAATATGTTTGTATTTAAGTAATGGTACCCAAAGTATATTGATGTGTATCAGTCTAGAGGAAGGTCTCTAACAGCATGTTCAAGGGCTATTTCTGACCCATCTTATTCTCCTTATTATCAATGACTTGAATGTAGACACAGAAGTCATGATTTTAAACCTACAGGTGAAAACAAAATCGGCAGACAGAGCTACTATGTTGCATAACATGAAAGAATGGAGAATCAAGAAGACCCTGAACAAGTAGTAAATAGGCCCCGACCTTAAAAAAAAAAAAATTGTAAAGGGGATAAATGTAAGGTTTTATACTTAGGTTCAATAAAACTGCACAATACCTAGAATGGTGTGGGGGAGCCAATTTTAAAAGAATATGAGAGTTTTAATTGACTGCAAGCTCATTATGAGCCAAGAGTGTGATTTACTGCAGAAAAAAAGCAAATACCCTGTATTAATAATGGTAGTGTCTAGCTCGAGAGATTAAGAGTTCAGCATATTCTTCACTAATCACTGTGTTCCACTTGGGGCACATTTTAGAAGAAACACTGGCAAAACAGCGTTTCCAAAGGAAGGTAACCTAAGTGATGAAGGGTTTGGAATACAGAATATTTGAGGAATTGGGGATGTTTAACTTGCAAAAGAGAAAATCTGAGCGAATGTGTAACCTGTCTTCAAATATATGAGGAACTATCATATGGAAAAGGAATTGTGTTTAGTTCTATGTAGCTCTAAACAGCTAAAAATTATATGGAACTCCATATAAAAAAGACCTTTCTAACATGACACTAAAATGGGTTAGCTTTAGTGGTGATGCACCCTCTACTGCTAGAGTATTCAAGCAGAGATTAGATTAGTTTCATTTTAAACAAAAATGTATTGAGCACCTAGGGCTGAGGCAGTGTGCAAAGCACAGGTGATGATAATGAATAAAAAACTAACATGGTCTCTTCTTTCATGGAAGATAAATGGTAAAGGCAAATAACCACACCAATAAATTTAAAATGACAAACAGATAAATCTCTAAGGAAAAGGAATACAGTTAGTTCTTCAAGAGCATATAACAAAGGATCATGACTTGTGTGGGATCAGAACAGGCTTCCCTTGAGTAGATGAGTGATCTGTGAGTAGGAGGTAAATGGTTGGGAACAGAACATCACAAAGAAAGGAAACAGTACGTGCAAAGACCTTGTGGTAAGAGAAACTACTACAGTTCAAGGAACTGAATGGTTTATATAACCTGAGCATAGAGAGTAAGGCAGTGAGTAGAGAAAAGCAGGAGTAGAACCACAAAGGGCCTTAAAGGCCCAGTTTGGACTGATCTTCCAAAAGTAACCTGATGCTATTGAGGTAGGGATTTTAAGTACCAACAGGCAGGGGAGGAAACAAGCAATGTGGAAAATGCTGTAAAGAAACCTCTAGTGAGCTTCCTGAAGTAGTCCAAACCACAAATGATGGTAGTTTGGGGAAATGAGGTGGAAATGAGGATGCAGAGCGGCAGAGAGATTGAAGAGATTTTTAGGATATTAAAATGACAGAACCCACATGACCAGTAGTCCAGTGGGTTATTTGGGTATAGTTTAAAGCAGCAATGCCCGGGGCACCTGGGTGGCTCAGTAGTTAAGCATCTGCCTTCGGCTCAGGTGTGATCCCAGGGTCCTGGGATCATCGGGCTCCCTGCTCTGCAGGAAGCCTGCTTCTCCCTCTACTACTCCCCCTGCTTGTGTTCCCTCTCTCACTGTCTCTCTCTCTGTCAAATAAATAAATAAAATCTAAAAAAAAAAAAAAAAAGGCAGCAATGCCCAAGCCAGATTCTTCGGCCCTAATAATACCCTTTTAGGGAAGGGGTGGGGGTGGGTGGAACAGAACTCAGTGATGAATTTTACTGGGGGGCAGAGGATGTGGTCAGAGAGAAGTATAAAGGATGACCATGACCACCACCACCGCAACCACCACCTCCCCACCCCCCACTGGTTTCCAGCCTATGGATGGTGATGCCATTCACTGAAACAGAAAACAGGAAAAGTACTAATTAGGTGGGCTAAGATCATGGGTTTGGATGTAAACTGTAGAGTTTGAGGTGCCTCGATTTTTAATAGGCAGTTTGATATATTGATCTGGAACTTAAAGGATAGATCTGGACTGGGAGTCAAATACTGAGAATCACTGGCATACAGATGGTAGTTGAAGCTGTAGGCTTAGAAGAGATCGCCCAAAGAGAAAATGGAGAAGAGAGCCTTGAGGAATATCTGCATTGAATAACAGGGTAGAGGAGGGTGAGTCTGCAAAAGAGAGGTATGAGTAAAAACAGGAGCAAGGCTGCACAGAAACCATGGGAAGAGTGTTTTCCATGAAGGCGGTTACGGTCAACAATGTCAAATGCTGTGGAGACATCCAATCAAAGAATGAAAAATGTTAATTAAGTTTAGGAGCACGTTTCAGTGGACTGATAGGGCCAGAAATCAGACCGCAGTGGGCTGAGGGGTAAGTAGGTGGTAAGCAAATGAAAGATGATAAATGTACACAATTCTATCAAAATATCTGGCTGAAAAATGGGAAGAGAAAGGAGACAACTGCGGGGGTGGAGGGAGGGTTTGTCTTAAGGTGGGAGAAGCTTAAGTATGTTGAGAGGGAACAGGTGAATGCACAGGAGTGGGGGTTCCTTGGGTGGGAAAAAAGAGAAGCTAAAGCATGGTAGAGGAAGTAGCCATAAATAAAAGGAGAGGCTATGGGGAAAAGGAAGAGAAAGAGGTCAAATTAAATGACCTTTAAGGTCTCTTCTCACTCCATCATCTCAGGACTTACAATTTCTTTTAGATAGGACATTTGCATGCGTGCGTAAATCTATACAAACTTGTTCAAATATTCCAGTATAAATAAATCAGTCAAGCACATCCTTATCCCCTAGTGACGCAGTTAACGTCCCCAGGTTTATGACCAGTGTAATCTCTGGGCAGGATCCATCCCTCAGAGAGCTTTTAGCTCAACGCACACTGCAGTACAGCACAGAACCAGCCCTATCTCCCCTTACCAAACCCACACTACACCGCGATCTTAAGAGGCTAAAGGAGGAAGTAAAATTTAAAACCCTGAAACTGTAACATAACCTGCTGCATTCAAAGCGACTGTCATTCATAAATACAAAACGCGACACCCCAAATGCATCCCCACTCCAAGCTGAAGACATTCCTGCCTGTTCCGACAGTGACAGGTCCCCCAGATGGCTGGGGTTTAACACTAAAAGTCATTTGCACCTCCTCCTCCTTTCACAAGACCTTTCACTCAAATGGGTTCCTAATGATCCTTCCCACAGCCCTCGCCCCCAACGCAGCAGACGGATCCCCCGCAGTTATTCCAACGGCTACACCTAATAAGCCCTAGCAAGGGGGTGCGGAGAAACCCCCAGAGCCCGTCCGACCGGACTGGGACCGCCACAGTCCTGAGGCTGGCTTGGGGGACGCGGGTAACAAGCCCCAAAGGATGGGAAGGGAGAATTAAAGGAGACCCAGGAGACCCACGGTAGTGAGGGGGTCACCTCCCCTCGAGCTTCCTTAGGGGGATGGAGTTTCTGAGGAAGGCTAATCCCCTGCCACCGCTCCCCCTTCTGACCCTCAAACCCTTCTCTGGCTTGCCGCCCTCCAACCCCCCATCTGCTCAGACTCACCCCCCCCCTCCCCTGGGCCGTCCGGACCTCAGAGTGCCCGCAAGCCCGGCACCCCCGCCTCCAGCCGCAAGTTCGGGGCCGGCACTCACCCGACCCGCCATCTTCGCGGACACGTCCGGCTCCGCGGCTGCAACTGGGCGCTTAGTAGAGCCCGCCCCC